GACAACTTACGGCGAGTGACTAAATGTGTCCTGTTTTAGTAATTATAGTGACCAAATTTGATATTAACTTTTTCTAGTGATTAAACATGTCTCAATTTAGTAATCTCAGTGACCTAATGTATCTTTAACCCTTATTTATGTATTTCCATAATGAACCCACACACTTTGATAATAGATTTTTATATATATAAAACTTTGACAATAGATTATGGCATACTATAAACAACCAAAACAAGGGGGCTTACCAATTTCAAACCTAAAAGCTTGTTGCTTAAATGTGGATGCCAAAGCCTAAATCTTGTACTTATTTGGGAGCTATAGTAGTGCCCAAATGCTGCTACAGGGCACAGGCCAAGCAAGCAAATCCCAAAACAAAGGAAAGGGGGGAGAGGAAGGAAGGAAAGGAACCCTAAATCTTGGGGGATATATGTTTGTACTTGAATGTGGATGCAAATCTTGCACAGCCATGTGGATTTTGATTCTAGCCTATAACTAGCTATATACCCTTATATCTTTGGGGCACTACCTACCTTAATGGCTAGACTTATAGTTGGAGGGAATAGTATTCAATGTTGGGCCACATATATTAGTTCTTGTTTTCCTTGGACATGGTTCCCCCTCCAAGTTCACACTTTATTTATTCTTCACAAATGCCTCCCTTTGCTTAATTTTGTGTTCAATGGAAAACAACACTCAAATTTCTTATACCTATATGGATTATATGTAGTTTAGTTCCTGGGGCACACATTATCTTTAGTTTAATCACTTCAATTAACTTTCTATCTTTTAGCCCTTTGGACTTAATCATAATTAACAAACCCAAGTAAATATAATCTAATGCAATGCAAATTAATTACTATGGATTGTACTAATATAATATTGTTGCTTGTTATTTATTAACCAGATGGTATATGACAAGTTTGTTCGCAAAGATCTTCATTTTGCAATGTATTTAACGTCAATAACAAGTGCTAACTATCAATTTGATATACGTTAGCTACGTATGTACGTACGAATCATTACTTGATTTGTTTAGCATCGTGTCTCTAGTTGCATGCACTTGAGCAACGAATTAACCACAATATACACTACTAAAAACAGCAGTTTTGTGGGAATGATTATTAGAATATGCCTCTGTGCACATGAAACCAACTTAAACTAAGATCAAGTCTGATCAGTTAGCTAATTTAACTCGCTAACAAAATCCTGTTCATCTAGCTAATTAATCGCTTCCTCAATAAACAAAAGACAAAACAAAAAAGCTTCTTGTAATAGGAAATATAACCAACGAGACGCGGCGGCTGGAAAGTAAAAACCAACTTGCATATGTTTTGCTTTGACAGATGAAAACCAACTTTTTACAGTCAATATTAGCTAATTAATTTTAATAATTAATAAGAAGCCACACCACTATATATACCCCTTCTTGTAGTGTAAAAAATAAAATCAAGCCACACCACTTCACAAAATATTCCCCTTTCTTTCTTCGTTTCTTCTCGCTTCAATGGATTCTCAGCACTATCCCTTCTGCTCCGACTTCAACGTCGACGGCGACGATCAGCTCATCATCAACAAATTCTCCGAGGAAGAGCTGTCGGAGATCATGCTGTCCCTCGTCGCAAATCATCAGCAGGAGAACTCTTCATTAATCTCGATGACTCCCATGAACGCCGCCGCCATGGCCATATCATCGTCGCCATCTCTTCATGACATTCTCAATACGGCGTCGTCTTCATCGTGTTCTTTTGAGTCTGAGCGCGGTTCACCCCTTCCACCGGCGGCTCGATACGATGGTGTTCATCATTCTTTTTCTCTTGACCGTGATCACCAGGCGATATTGTTCAACAATATTGCGAGCGGGATGATGGAAAATGTTGATGGCGGATCCATAACGACGTCGTTTGACGCGGCTACTTGCTACCGTGGCCAGCAGCCGGCGGCGGCGGCGGCTAATTACGTACGTGCTCCATCGGCTGCAGCAGTCGCCGAGGGGGTTAATTATTACGTAAGCATGCATAAGTGTATACTTTTTGTTTCGTTTTATGGATTATGTTCTTAATTATGATTGTGAATGTGCTTATGTTGCTTAATTTGCAGGGGACGACGACGACGCAATTATGCAATAATAATAATAATAATAATAATAATAATAATAATAATAATAATAATAATAATAATAATAATGCGGACGTGAAGGTTGGGCAGTACACGGCGGAAGAGAGGAAGGACAGAATCCTGAGGTATTTGAAGAAGAGAAACCAAAGAAACTTCAACAAAACCATCAAGGTAATTAAACTTTATAATTAACATCAATGTAATTAAGCAATTGATAATTGTTGATTCGTTTTCATTAATGTTAATAATTATATGTACATAAACAAGCAGTATGCTTGCCGGAAAACGCTGGCCGACAGAAGAGTACGTGTGCGAGGGAGGTTCGCAAGGAACAGCAGCAGCGAGTTGTCCGAAGAAGACGTGGTCACGCCGCCGCCGCAGCGGCAGCCATCGGAAAACGACGGACACCAACATTACTATCACCACCATTACCAAGGTTATTATCTCCAGCAAGAGAATAACCAATCATACAACGAAAACGAGGTCCAGCTGGTAGATAATAAAGCTACCCTACAGCTACAGATGATGAGGGAAAGTGGAGAAGAAGAAGATCAATGGCTGCAAGAGGCAATGGCGAGTCTGCTGTATACACCATACATTGCGGCTGGATGACATTAATTAATTAACTATACATTCATATAACAAGGTTAATTATATATACGGCTATATATCAATATTGGTGGTGGGTTAATCAATAGGTAGATAGTTGCTTCTAATTAAGTAGTTAATTATCATTTCATCGTCATTTCGTATGAGTTTTGTACTTTGATGAGTTTGCTAATGTTTTGTACTTCAAATTGTACTTTGATGAGTTTGCTTTTATATTATCAAATCGACTGGGTCTCTATCAGATTGTTGTTCTACTAGTATGAATTTTGTTCTCTGTCAACTATAAGTATATATAGTGTCTCCACTCTCCATCGATAAATTTCTAAGTACAGTTTAATCTAGATATGCTTGATAAGGTCTTAATCATCATCGTTCTCATAATTACCATACCAAAGATCAACGATAGATCCGATCATTTTCCCCCCAATAATCACAAGATTTTTACAAGTACCCATTATCAACAAATTTTAAAAATGATTAGATTGCTGATATGAAAACAAAATACTTAATTGGAAATAGTGATTTGATTGAAGAAGATGTACGCCTGATAGATAGATTTTTCAATATTTTTGATAGGTTTATAATGTTGACTATATGTTTCGCTCTTCACTATTAAAGATCTTTTAGTATAAACAATACAGACGTAACCGAAACTCATGAAGATGTTATTCAAATCAAATGGATTGATCCTAGTTGTCATGATACATAATCTCTATCTAATCTGGTTTTTCGTTATAAAAAAAATGGTTGAAAAATGTATCAGGTATATAGATTATTGATAGCGAGTTAACAACATATCATTGGATCCCTTTATTTCCCATTCATGAAAAAGAAAATCCCTTTATTTTCATTTCCACATTTCCAACTGGGGTTATATTGTTTCTCAATCATGAGATAGAAGACTGGCTAGATAATGTATATCAACCTCATTGAGGGGATCAAAATGTGCTTGACTGATGAACTGAATTTGGTTTAATTTTATGTTTTTCTTTGTATAGTGCACTAGACAAAAGCATCTTATTCTTAGCAAGCAAAACCAAATTGCTTTATTTTCCATCAGACTGATAGCTGCAGGCTTTACTACCCATTTTAGTTGGAATTTATAAGAGAAAGTGACCGGCGAGAAAAACAAGAGATACCCTTGTAGTTTATGGACAATTCATAGAAATCTATATTCCTTAAATTATAAAGATCAAACTTCGTAGACTTTATAAGTAAAATGTTAGACAAACGGGTATACTATAGAAATGTAAAAGCTATTTTACATGTAGGAATTGGGGAGAAAAAAGTCGTGATAATTAAACGGTGGCTCAACCAACTCCATTTTTGACAATTTAGGGCAAAAGTCTAGGTAGATGGCATCCATATATGTAAGTTATTCCTTTGTGCAAATGGGGTGTCACGAGCAAGCATTCTTACCATCGTAAGAAAGCACTTTGAGATAGCTTCAAAGGCGGATCCAGAATAGGGTAGACCGAGTTTCGAGAATAGTGCTTTTGTTTTCATTACAAATGTAGGTGGTGGGTGAAGGGTGATTGATCTATTGGTCTTATGCAGACACTTGTGGCTCTAGCTACTACTACATAAACATATACACCATGTGAGACATGAGTAGTTATTAGTCATGACAACTCCCTTGTTGGTTTAGCTAGTTACATGCAACAAAGCTCGAGTAGTGGCCTTTCATGGTCAGAAAGAGCTAATAACGTTTAGGTCCCTGGCCAAGCAAATGAAAAGCTAGTGGAGGGAGGGGGAATCGATTTGAAGCCATGCATTCATGAACAACATTGAACACATCCAAATCGACAACGACGTCCAAATTGAAAGAAAAAAAAATTTCTTATCAGGCTTTCATGAGGGCGATATGTATGCGTGGTGGTGACCATGGCTAGGCTTATCTTTCGTGGCCCACCAACGAATGTGTGCCAAGAAAATTGGGCCGGTTGGGCCCATCGAATTAAGTTGACCATTCATCTCAAGGCTGCAGAGAAATGAAGAGGTATGGAGACTTGAGGGTGGATAGTGGAGTGGAGGGACACTTCCACAGTCTCACTGTTATTGTTGCTGCCACTTAACAGACACCAAAATGAGAAAACAAAAGTCAGAAAGAGGAGGGGAAATTTGTGACTGTGATTTATCAAGAGAACAAGTTATCGTCAAGACTCAAACCGACAATCACGAATGTCAAAGTGTATCGAGACAACCTAGTTACCGGACGACACAATCTTGAAGATGAGAGCTGGATCGAAACGAAGCCACATGTGTTACGAATCGACCCTAGCTTGTACTCTTGTTCACCATAAAACCAACATCTGAGATCATATTCATGTTGCCGATGCTAATACGAAAGTCGAGAGTAGGGCTACACCGAGCCACCAATCCCAGGAAAATATATTTATCTATAATACATAGTTGTAAATAAACTCATACAAATATATATATACATATATATATGGTTAATCATTAACCGTCACCATGGATAAAGAGGAAGCAAGCCAAAACAAAATCAGAGGGTACGTACGTCTCACTTAATTAAAAAAAACACAGAGAGAGAGAGATATATATGACTAATTAGTGGCTTATTAATTAATTAATTAAGGAAGTAATCAGCTAGCAAGACCAGAGCGACTCCCCGACGTTAGCCTGATGATTGCTGGAGGCGAGGTGGCTGCTGCTGTTGGGCTCGCGCATCCTGAGCTGGACTAGCTCGGCCTGGGCGACAGCGAGCTGGGCTCGGAGGGAGTCCACTTGCTGCTGCAGCGAGGAGATGGCTCCGACGCAGCCGTAGACAGGGTCGCGGATCCGGGCGTTGGCCTCGTACACCATCGAGCTCACCGCGTCGCTCCGCTGCTGCTCCCCCAACTCCTGATCAACTTTCAATATACCGTTACCACATTGGCAAAAGAAGCACGTACGTACATATACGTTATTGTGATGTATTCTAAAAACTTGCATTCACTTTTAAAGTATGTGTAGTATTGGATGATAAAGCATATATAGTCTTATTTCCTAGCTAATTAGTCTAATTGTGTGGTTCTATAGTTACTCACATGGTGTAAAGTTCAGCCAAGAGAAACAGAGGACAACTAATTAGTGGCTCTTGCATATATAGTGGATTATTGCATTTTAAGTAGGGGGTTAACATCAAAGTTTGATTTTTGATTTGGTAGTGCAATGAACCTTTTTTATAAGGGGGGCAAAAGACAACCTATCAATTACTATCACTAATCAAAATTGATTTGTCCGCCCAACCCCCCTCGACAAAGCGTGATTATATTTCTTGATTAGCCACTAACACAATTTTCTTTTTAAATATTGTTTGATAAGGACACAATTTTCTTTTTTAACCACTTAATAGCTTTTCCTGTCATGTGAGTGGATTTTACTTTGGGATTGCATGCTTTGATATAGTGATCATGGTGTTGAATAAGCTTTGAAAAGGTTCTGTATAGTGATCATGGTGAGTGGATTTTACTATAATTAATAACCTAATTAATCACGTTTTCAGTTGTCTCTTTTATAGAATACAGAAATGATAGATCAGTGGTTTATGGTCTTGTCATCGTCATTAGTAGAGTGGACAAGAAAATAGACCAAGTCACATCAATATAAAAATTAGTTGTCTGGGTAAGTGACGATCGAAAAATAGGTCTTCTATCGTAGCAAAATTTTAAATGTGCATAGTATAGTAAGTCCAGCTATATTTGGCACTTCATTTCATTGATCTAAGAAAGGTAGCTAAAATTGAAAAGTGATACTAATTGTCGACTAGCTATATATCGATTCTTCTTATTCAAACTTGAATTCAAATCCAACAACCTTTAACCTTATGCTATACATCATAATTTAGTGGACCGGGCCATTTTACTCCTAGTAAACAATCTTAACTATGAAGGGACATTTATCTTGTGTCACATCTAAATATATTTGATTGCTCTTTCCTTATGTTTGACTAATGCATGCCCTTGGCAAAGCTTTTTAAGAAACCAATAAGGTGGCTGGATAATGAACGACTTTAACCCTATAGCCTTTTGCTTTAATATCTCTCTTTGTTATTATAGTTTACTATTATTGCTTTGGGAAATTTCGACCATAGGCTAGCATCAGAAAGGGTTTGCCTCCCAAAGTCCAAAAGGCTCCATCACGTAGATAGGCAGTCAATTGAAGGGATAGATGGTGGCGGTCAAAAAGTATATAGTACAGTTATAACAACTTCTTTGTCTGCTCTCTCGATTAAACCCTTCTCTTTTGCACAATTGTAACATTTAGGGTCGTTTGGAAGTTACGATTGTTAAATAGATGTATTGTTGAGAATGCATGTATAATATTATACATGTATTGTCGAATTTGATGCATTGTATAATACAACGTTTGGTATGTGTGATTCTGTATGTCGCATAAGCTAAAAACTGAGACAAAACAATCTCAACTCAACTATCTCAACAATCACAACTAAAAGTTGAGATATAACAATCACTCAAAATGAGTGATAGTTTCTGTCACATCACAGAAACAATCCATGTATTGTTTCTGCTAAAAAAACAAAAAAATGATGCATTGTAAACAATACATGCATAATGACAATCTCAACAAAACTATCGCAACTTCCAAACTACCCCTTAGTATTTCAATTTCGACTATGTTTGTATAAATAAAATATGTGGCAATTCTTCACGCATATTGAAACATTTACATATATACATATCAAAACTCGATATTAATTTTAAAGTGCGATTGTAATCCCTGCTAGACTATACTGTAATGGTTGGCAATATATAACTAACAAGAAATGTTGAGTGGTTGCAAGAATTATTTAACAAATTTTGTCAATATACACTGTAGCTCAAATACAATTATAATGATTTTGTTTTGGGAAAATTTTGAAATAGCACAAAGTAACCTATAGATATGCATAAAGAGCCACCCAGCACAATTGATTATGATAATGATTTCGTTATCTTTTTTTTTTTTGGCTTTGTGTACTAGCTAAGGAATCCAAGTGTGGCTGTGGAACCATATTAATCCTTTCTTTCTTTTGTGAACTTTATGCTTGCACGGGAATAGGTTAGAATATTGCACTTCCCTTTACCTATTAGTGGGGTCTGATACCAACCGAAAAACTAACCCACTACAACCGAAATAACACACAGCTGATCATCATCACCATAACCATAACCTTATAATCCTCATTATTTATCTGGTGGGACAGCCGTCCCAAACTTTTTCACTTGGTAATTTACTACGTTCATATCTCATTTTCATCCGCACCAAGATAAGTTATTAGGTACTATAAAGATAATAACGAGCTTCAATGAGATCCATAATTATCGTATTTAGATGAGATACAGTCTATCAAAATCTACTCATGTTCTACTTGAAAAAAACTCACTTGTATGCGTCATTCTCGAATAATTTAATCTCTTGAGTCATTCTTAAATTACCGTGTAAACCATTTTTTTAAGAGGTGCTAGTTGATATCAATTGGAAAAAAAAAATGGTTAGATATGTTATTTGAAGAAGTGGGTTAGAATAACTATCAAGAACTATAATCCGAGAGATATATACTTACCACTTGAGGAATCTGAATGACCAAAATAATCCTAAAGTACTATGAAACTGTGGTAATAACTTTCAATGTAAGTATACCTAAAACACCAACTATATATGCAAATGCAACATAACTAATTATCTTGGAATTTGGTTTGGTATGCTTTTGCATTGGTTGGTTTGGACATGCATTTATGTTGATCCATGCTTCTTAGCTTCCTCAAAATCGGGTTGATCCTAAGGTTATTGACGAGTAGCTAGCTAGCCAACTGAACCAATTAAACCGACAAAATCGTAGAAAATGAACCACTGCGCGCGTGAAGTGAAAAGTGGTTCGGATTGATATTGTCTGACATCGATCGATCACCAATTCACCATGTCTATGGTATTTGGTAGGGCTAGTGAAAGTAGTTGCATGCCTTATTTGACCCTTACCCTAAACAGTGCAACAAACCAATTAAACCAAGCCGCTCCCTATCTGTGCACTCCATTCCAAACAAAAAGAGAAAGCTGACAATAACAAAGACACAAAGAAAAAGGAAACCACACCAAAGACCAGACAAATTAAGTTGGTTGTATAATGACTTAGCCTTACTTTCCTCGCTTCCAGAATCCTCACCACTTTACCAAACACAGAGAGAGAGAGAGAAGGAGAGAGAGTGAGAGGGAGAAGAACCTGTAGCATCTTGTTGACGTTGCTGGCGCCGAAGACCTTGTGCACGTTGGCAAATTTGTGGGGCTCGTCGGCGGGGAAGTAGGGCGCAAACACGCAGTCCTGAGCGCACCTCCGCCGCAGCAGCTTGCACGCCGCGCACGGCGACAATGCCCCGTTCTTCCTCCCTGCTGCCGCGCTGCCCTCCCTCATTTCTATTTATCCACTATATAGAAAAAGATACAACGTTAAGCACAAGCAAATGTGAAGGGGAAATAGAGGTAGCTAGCTGGTTTATTACGTGGAAAAGGATGGAGTCGGTATGAGATTTGAGTTTCCACAAAAGCAGATGGCTGATGAGAGGGAAATGAGGTTAAGTTGGGAGTTATATAGACAAGAGAGATGTGAAAGAAAGGGGAGGAAATGTGATGTGAGTGAGGAGGAGATCTGTGGAGGAGCCCACCAAAGAAGGCGCCACTAGATCTTGTTGGACAAAAACATCCACACCGCCCCGCCCCGCCCCGCTTCTTTGTCCCCGCCACCTTTCTTTTCCTTTACCATGTTATGTTAATTAACCACCCTACCTACTAATAATCTTTCTTTTCATAAAGATATATATATTAATTAGTCACTCTCCTAAACTTCGTTAAGGGACTTGACAACTACAGTAAATATCATTTCGCTGTATGAAAAGTGTATAAGGTAGTATAATTTTTCAATTTAGTACTCTAAGCTGCTAACCCAAGCTTTTTACGACATGCATGTGTCGTCGTTACCCATAAAATTTGGGACAAATCCAATCGCAGCAAGATAGTCCAATTCAAGTAATATCAACATATCTAATTTTCTCGTATTGAGACAATTTGGTCAAGTTTACCCATTTGGCGGCATAAAATTTGGATGAAGCAATTTGACATACGGGGTCGTTTGGATGGAGTATTTGGTGAGTTATTTGGTCATAAATAAATCATTTGACAGCATTTTTCTGAAACGTGTTATTTGGGCAGTGAGTTATTTACAAAAAAAACACAAAATGAGTTATTTGAAATAGCTCATACCCCATATTATTCCGAAATAACTCGTCTTATCACTCTGCCTTTTTCCAAATACTACATGTCAAATACCACATTTGCATGGTTTAACCAAACGAGATACTTTAAACCAATTGTCACTGAAATACCACATGAACGATTAATGAGTTATTTGACTCGACAAATACCATGCATATTGTCAATTAATCAATCCAAACGACCCCTAAGAGATTTCGAATGAACTCGTTTTGGTACAATTACAAATATCTAGAATGAGATGGATAATTCGAATTGAGTCACTCCTTTTGACCAAATAATTTCGTCGGTTTTCCAATTTATTCCTCCAAATTATGTCTATAACTCTATATTATGGTTCACTCTCTCCATATGTATAGCTCTTTGTCCTCTTCTTCATGTATATAGTCTCCCCAATATACAAATTGCCTGGAAAAAGATTTGATGAAATATATATATATTGGTGACCGTTCTGGGCCAGATGTATAGTGCATGCGTGCGGTCCGTTTGTTTTCATTACTTCCTTTCTTTTTTCCAAATAATAATGAATGATTATATATATGCATATATTAAACTCAAAGGAGAAGTCTATGATTTTGGCGGTTCCACGCACGTATAATTACAAAGAGAGCACCTGGATTGGATGGAGTAGCTTTCATTAATTCAGCTATCAGTGCCGACTACTGTGTATCGATGTTCTCTCTCGCACACGCGTAATTAGGGGGAAAAAAACTTCTTAGGAATCAATTAAATAGACTGAGAGCAACCGTGGAGCTATGTGTAATTTAATATGGACTATACTATTTCATTTTAGGTTAAAATATGTGGATTACATGTTAAGAAATATTGAAAAAGTGGCATGATATATAGAATTCCAACAATGATCCCCTCCTGCAATTACCCAACTTTGAACAAAATCTTGTGGTTGTAATTAGATACGATTATCAAGATTTCCAATGTCTTTTTCTTAATATATAAGTGGTTCCTTGACCTTTTATACATAAAATATCGTTTTAGTTTTGAACAATCCAACCATAAACAAATGTAGTACTACTGGAGCAATCAATCTCTCAATGTTCTTGGTCTATTGTAAAAGCCTAGCTATGGGGAAGACCTTAAGGAGAGGCCGGCTACCATAGCCATGTGCCATTGTCTTATGATAATCTTGATAGGGTACATGTTGATGATGATGATCACACCATAATGTCTTATGATTAGGTTTTCAAGTCTTCATCACCTGTTCTATTACCTTTTTTTATAATTGCTACTTCACTTGTTTTGTCTATGGCAAAGTTGGAAATGTTTACAATTAGCAAAAAAAAAAAAAAAAAAACGACTTACAAGACATGTCATTCCGATTTGATTTGTCCCGACTCATTTCGTACATGCATTTTACATATTCGAGTCACGAGGCAACATGGCCAGCTAAACACAAGTTTTAACTTCTTATTTCGTAGATAGCTATATGACTAATTGCAAACTGTAACAACGTCAGATAATTGTACTTTGTATTTAGTTATGTAATGCTCTTTCTTTTGTATTGTAACAACTTGCATGTTTTCACTTTATTATTTAACAAAAATTAAATATCAATCGACACATTGAAGCGAAACGAAAGAATATGAATATTATTGGCAGCCCTCTTACTATTGCTATTCTTACCAAAAGAGAATATATAATAAGAAGAAAATGTGGTTCTGCCTTCCTTATTGTAATATGTGGAGGAAAAAAAGAGTTCAGCTTAATTACAACATTTTTAAAATTTCTCTGGCTATTATTAATACTAAGTGGGATGATCATGTTGTTGACTGACTGGTTGTCAGATATTGCTAAGAGCTTTCCACACAAAGTATCCATCTCTACATATAAATGTCGATGGATGAAATTAGTTCCATCATATATGTATTAGTGGCAATCTAATTAATTAATTCACTAACCTTTCAAACCTGATAAGATACGCCTGAAAATGAGGGCTATTAAACATCCACCTACATTTTTCTCTCATCAGAAATTTGCAAAAATTATTAAATTAACATCAACTAACTATTTGATTGATTGGTAGGCATAGCCATAGATTGATTAGTTGAAGATATTTCGCTTCCATCAATTGCAATATCAAGGGTAATTTACCTACCTCGAGTCTTTGAAATGAATTGATATTAACATATTATAATGGTAGTTAATTGATATGAAAAATTATGTTTAAATCTTTAATAACCCGAGTATGAATACAGTGACTATCAAAAAATAATAATACTTGACTATAGATTAGAACTTAAAAAATAATAATACTTGTACACTATTTATAATACTCGACCAGGCCCGGCCCAGACCCTGTGCTGGTCTGACCCACAGCACAGGGCCTCAAAATATTTGGGGTCTCAAAGCCCATACCTAATACACATATATATAAAAAAAAAAAAAAATTGGGAACGAGACGCAGAGGCCTCTATTCTGCTCCGCCTCTTAATCTCCCCTTCCCTTCCCAAAATCATCAATCATCAATCCTTTCCCCCAAAAATCTCCACCTCTGCCGCCTCTTAATCTCCCCTTCCCTTCCCAAAATCATCAATCATTAATCCTTTCCCCAAAAATCTCACCTTTCCCAAAGATACCAACGTCACTAAACCAACGTTTCAATTCATAATCAATGTTTATTGCTTAACATCTCTAATCTCTAATTCCTTCTCCTTAAAAACCGCACAGCCTAGATTCTTCCTCGCATTTTCATTCCTTTACGAAACCAATCACCTCCTAAAGCAGCCGATTAGCTGAAAATCAAAATCAATACGACAATCCCTTATTACGCTCGCCTTCCCCTGGTTTCGACTTGGCGTCTTGGCCACTTCAGTCTTTACGCCGTCGTTCGGTAAACGCCAATAGGTAAGAATTCCTCTTGTCTTTTGTTGATTTTTAGCGTGCTGCCTCTGGAGAGTCTGTTCTCCGACGTCCCACCTTGATACTCTGCTTCTACTTGAGAATGGCGAGTTTGGAGTCATGGAGTTGGAGAAGGAGAAGCAATGGGGCCGCCGGGCCAGACCAAAATCCAAATGTGCCTGGAGGTTGGAATTTGGAATGAATCCGAATGGGCTTGCACTGTAACCATGATTCAAATTTGTGGTTATTTTTTTGCAGGGTTTTGTTTTAGGCCGACTGGTCATTTGGGCGAGTGAATCTGCCTAATTTGTTTTGGGAAGAGTGTTCCTGGATTCTAACCAAATTTTTGTTTATTTTTTTTAGGGATTCTCCTTGGAAATTTGGATTAGTACTATTTGATTTTCCAGTGGTCATTGCCGAGTATAATCATTAATTTTTGGTAACAACTTTAATTATGTCAACTAGAAAATTTGAATAAGGTAGTTCTAACTTCTAAGCGTAAAAAAAAGCAGAGGATTGAGTTGTTAACTCATTTTTTGAACTTATCTATTTTTTTTATTTAATAATTTTTATTTTTAACAAATTTTACGGAAAAAACATTTAGGGCCACATTTTTAATTTTGGAACAGGGCCTCCGAATATTATGGGACGGCCCTGTACTCGACCCAATATTTCATGTTCACGATTTTACTTATCTACCAATAAATGGTAGAAAGTTTTTGTGACACACATTAACCAAATTATATTAATAACTCTGCATTTTACATAAAAATGTGTCTCTAATTACTCATTTTGAGTTTATTAATTTCTTATCTAGTATCGAATTCTCCACCTTTAAGGAATATATGTCGGAAAAACAGTCATGACTCATATAAATATTAATAAAATTCATTCATGTATTTTTATTTTTAAATCGAACCCACTTTAAATGAAATTATGCCTACACCACCGACTACTTCTACCCTAATTCATGTTCTCATCATCTGCATGAGCAATAGCATTTTGTAACTAATCCTTTTTCAATTGCCTGTTCTAATTAGCACCACACGTTATAACTGGATGGGGATAAAGATATATGTTGAACTTTGATTATGCTTAATCGAGCGGCTTTGCGTCTAATCCTATAGGTTGTAGAAATGGGCTGAACTGAAGATTAATATAGGCCAGATAATTTGGGCTTTGCTTGTATCAATTTTGAGCTTTGGACTGCTATGTTATTTTGGGCCTTCTGAGAGCCCAGGAGTCCATTGACGCCATTTTTTCTTTTCTTTCTTTTTTCCCGATGAAGTAGTGATGACGTAGTGACATTGTACCTAAACTTATAGGATCGCGCGAGAAAGAGACGTCAACCCAATTGAAAGCCACACCGGGCACCGGCAGGGTCGTAAAGGGCTGAGGCGGTGACAGTCCACCGGCCACGGGGTGGTCAACAAGTTATGAGTTATGACGGCATCTGATTCCCGCCTACGAAAACACAAGTAAGGATTCTGCGGTAACCACTCCCCGGCGGCGAGCTAATTTCCTCCAGCGCGGGAAGCGAGTGAAACGAAAATGGAAGCTGACAAGCAAGAGTTCCTCTACGAATTTGGCGACAGTTACGGCTACCCCGACGGTCCTAGAGGCATCGATGAAATACGCGCCGCTGAGTTCAAGCGATTGGATGAAAACGGTAATTAATTGACCACTTCCTGTACCGATTTCCGGCTGTCCTTTCGTTTTCAATTTGATAATATGTGGGCGGTGGGCGGTGGGCGGTGGGATCCGCAGGAGGTCTTGTGTACTTGGACCACGCCGGAGCGACTCTGTACTCCGAGCTGCAGATGGAGCGAGTTTTCAAGGATCTCGCCGCTAATGTTTATGGAAATCCACGTATCCTTACGTTGAATTGGTGCTTAGGATTGTGGTGTTTGTGGTAGTTGTAGTTGTTCTCATAGGGCAGTTGTTTCACGGTGGAGATTCCTTGACTCGAACGAGTTAGATAGCCAAAGCGATAGTAGCTCTGCAACTGCGGACGCTGTGAGGGAAGCGCGCCAGCAGGTATGGATAGTTCTTCGTTGTGTGGCCTCAATTGCATTTGTGCTAATTGAGGCAATGGTGTTTGTGGGTTAGTCTGTGAGAAAATTGAATTGCTTGTGAAACAGGTACTTGATTACTTCAATGCGTCCCCGAAGGATTACAAGTGTATATTCACGTCTGGGGCTACAGCAGCGCTAAAGCTCGTAGGGGAGGCCTTTCCATGGAGTGGTAGCAGTAGTTACATGTACACCATGGAAAATCACAATAGTGTGCTTGGGATCAGAGAGTATCCTTTCACTTTTGGCCTCTGTGCCATGGGGTCCTATTATGGATTGATGCATATTATCGGTCGAATAGTTCTAGCAATGCATTGAGATCCTGTAATGTGTATCTTTCAGATTCCATCTGTTTCACCTTGATTATGTTTAGATATGCTCTCAGTCGAGGAGCTGCAGCTTTTGCAGTTGATGTTGAATGTCCTGAGCCCTTGGACGTTGGATCAACGAGCCCATCTTCCTCATTTGAATTCTCACTTCATCCTGTACAAAGGAGGAACGAAATTAGACATATGGATGGAGGCTCCGGAGGCAAGTGCTGTTTATAATCCCCTTCAAATATTTGCTTGGAGTTCATTTAGTCAAACTCATTTCTGCCCTTTTTTTCTTGTTTCATTTTGTGAGCAGATGATGTGTTTAACTTATTTTCCTTCCCTTCCGAGTGCAATTTCTCCGGCATGAGATTCAACCTTGATTTGGTGAAGCTCATTAAGGAAGATTCACAAAGAATTTTAAGGGGTTCTCCATATGGCAAGTATGTAAAGCGCTCCATCCTATTCTGGTAGCTATTTTTTTGGATATGGCTGATGGTCATCCTGAACCTCTCAACTTCCTGAAAGTAATTTATTTAGTTTTTTTACGAGCTAATTGAAGCTGATATAAGCTTTATTACGGCATCTGGAATACTAATAATGGAAGAGAAAGAATTATGTTTCATTTGTTTTTGGCCATTTGAATACTACTTGGGTGGAAGTATTGAAGTTCAAGCAATATTATCTATTTTCAGGTTTCATGTCTATCAAATTAATATTTCTATCTTCTAAAGTAGGGGTCGCTGGATGGTCTTGATAGATGCTGCAAAAGGATGTTCAACTGAACCGCCGGATTTGTCCAAGTGTCCTGCTGATTTTGTTGCAATATCGTTCTATAAGGTATTACATGGTCCTTGTAAATTTCCATTACTTTTCTGAGAACCTGCTGTAATATATTGTGTCCTGTACTTCTGTAGTTGTTTGGTTATCCAACTGGACTTGGTGCTCTCATTGTTCGTAATGGTAAGTTAATGATTCTGAAAAGGTAAAAAATGGTGCAGATTCACAATCCAGCGAGTAAGAACTTTAATCTTTTTTTTTTTGGTTCCTCATCGCGCAGATGCTGCCAAGCTACTGAAGCCGACCTATTTCAGTGGAGGTGTGTGCCTTTAGTTTGGTTGGAAGAAGTAGATACATTACCATTTACTGAACTTCAAAAGCATTGCAGGGACAGTTGCGGCATCATTTGCTGATTTGGATTTTGTGAAAAGAAGAGAAAATATCGAAGAGCTTTTCGAGGATGGCACTACCTCATTTTTAAGCATAGCATCGATACAGCATGGCTTCAAGATCCTGAAGTCCTTAACTGTTACTGGGATACGCCGGTATGTATTTCTTGAGAGTGTATGTAGATAGAGATAGGTTATTCTTTTGTGAAGTGAAAAATTATGTCGGGTCCCTGACTCCCTGCTAGTTTAACTTTGTTGACTTTTGCTGTTTCTATTTTGGGATCCCAGGCATACGGCATCACTAACCATGTATACTAAGAAAATGCTTTTGGCCTTGCGACATGTAAATGGAGCTATTGTCTGCACGGTTTATGGAAATCATGCTTCAAAGGTAGGGCAGACAACACATGCTCCTTTTTTACTTACTGAGCATATATATGATGGGAATGGGGTTGTTCTTATGCTAGTCAGTGCAATATGTCCTGACTGTCTAGTCTGGGAAAGTTTCTGATGATTGTTGCGGATTTTCTCTCCTAGGTGCCTTGTCATGCGTCAGGTCCTACTGTATCATTCAACTTGAAAAGGCAAGATGGTTCATGGGTTGGTTATCGTGAGGTTGAGAAATTGGCTACGTTGTCTGGAATTCAGCTACGGGTAATTTCATAAGTTCTTTATTCAACTCCCTTGTTTCTAATGAAGGCCAGAAAGCTAGTTAAAATGCAATTAAAAAAGTTCAGTAACATAAGCCTTAAAAAAGAAACTGATTGTGCATGTTGCCATTGTTCGTGATGTTTTCCGTAGACAGGATGTTTTTGCAACCCAGGCGCATGTGCCAAGTATCTTGAGTTGTCTCACCTGGATCTTCTCTCGAACTTGGAGGTTTTGACTCTTCACTTATTGATTAAAAAGGCCTTAGTCAGCTGCATCATTTCCTTATCATTGCATTCTTACATTGTTCTTCTTCGACATCCAGGCTGGACATGTGTGCTGGGATGATCATGACTTAATAAATGGAAAACCTACAGGAGCTGTTAGAATATCATTTGGTTACATGTCAACTTATGAAGATGCGAAGGTATTTACAAGTAATCTGTTCATCTTGTGCATAAACTTTGGCATGACCACTTACAAGTAGAATTGGTCCTTGCAGAAATTCATTGACTTCATCAAAGGTTCATTTGTATCCACACAAATTAGTATTGGAAATGGGCATCTGTTAACGACAAGGGCCTTCTCATTCTCAAGTGAAGGTAATCCTTTAGCTAACTCTTATGCTTTAATGGTTCGTCTTCTGGAAACTGTTGGTTCACTATTCACTGGAATTGCAGGTGGTCAAAAACGATTTCCATCTGCTGTTTATCAACTAAAGTCCATTACTGTTTACCCCATTAAATCATGTGCCGGATTCAGTGCTGAATGTTGGCCGCTGAGTAGTACTGGTAAGTTCTTTAGTACCCTATCTTACTAGATGCTTAAATTATGTGTGAATATTGTCCAGAATGCTTCTCTGTAAATGGCTGAAATCCTGTGATATTGCCTTTTAACTGTAACATTATTCCCTCTTCAGAAATGTCGCATCAAAGGACCACATTAATGTATGTTACTTGTTTGCTAAATGATGCTTTCTTCATCAGGTCTGCGTCATGATAGGGAATGGCTTATTAGAAGTATAACCGGGGAAGTTTTGACTCAGAAAAAGGTTAGTATGCTTTTTCTGTTGTTTTCTGCTGCGCAGCTCGAATTAATTAATTGTTTTCATCCTTCTGTTGCTCTTGACATTGGTAGTTATCATTACCAATACATGGAATTATGGTCAAGTATGTAGTCCTGGTGGAGTTTTCTTTCCTTGACTGATTTCTTGGTTTCGTGGGAGTGAAATCTCATGTCAGAATACTTGCCATTCACAAGAAAATGATGTTGTTCCAACTTCCTCTGTTTTAGGTTCCTGAAATGTGTTTAATCAGTACTTTCCTTGACCTCAAGCAAGGAAAAATGATTGTAGAGTCGCCTCGGTGCAGAGATAAGTTGCAGATTACCCTCAATACAGATTCAAGCCTTGTCCCAACAGAAGAAATTGAGTTGCATGCTCAGAGGTACACACAAGTATGAAGATGAAAAAGCCAAGAATTTTAATATGTTATTAACTCGAGCAAAGAATTTGCATCATTTGTAGTTTTACCTCTTTCTTGAATTATCAGATGTACAGTTCATCACTACGATAACGATGTCAACCAATGGTTTACTATTGCCATTGGCCGTCCGTGTACGCTGTTACGATCTTCTGGTTCAAACAACACCAAAACCTCAGGTGTGTGTCGGGAAGTGAATGCTAGAACTAACTTCCCAAACGAGGCACAATTCTTGTTGATATCAGAGGAGAGCATATCCGACCTCAACACAAGGTTAAGCTCGGGTATGTCCTGCTTTCTCTCCACTCCAGGAAAACTTTCCTTCCCATTAGCATTGAGAAATTAGACTGGTCACCAAGGGCACTTGTTGATTCACTCCTGTTGCTGACAGGTGCACTGAAGGCAGCCCATGGTTCACCAGTTCAGGTGACTCCCACAAGGTTTCGGCCTAACCTTGTGGTATCCGGAGGCAAACCTTACGCTGAAGATGGATGGACGAGCCTCCAAATAGGAAATGCACATTTTACAGTGAGTCCATGCACTTCAGTTCTTGTTACTGCAGTAACTTCCACTTTCTGTCAATCAAAGTAATCTGAACTGTTTGCTCTGGTGTTACTTAACAGTCGATTGGTGGATGCAACCGTTGCCAGATGATCAATCTCGGCCATCAGTCTGGACAAGTCCAGAGGACTAAGGAACCATTGGCAACACTAGCTTCGTACAGAAGAGTGAAGGTTTTGACATGACCTGCATTTGAAATATTTTTATTCTTCACTCAATTCGGTTCCATCTCGAGTTCATAGTAATCCCTTTTTTGCTCATGGAACAGGGGAAGATCCTGTTTGGTATACTGCTGAGGTACGAGTCCGGAGATGACGAGGAGAACGTGAAGCATGATGATTCGTGGCTTCAAGTAGGTCAAGAAGTCCTTCCAAATTCATCATAGCGGCCCTCCCATTAGGACGATACCCGATGGCTCGTTCTCCATCATGCAGTTCCCACGGTGCTGAAAACATCTAACCCGTCCTAAATCTGCATATACTAACTACAGCAGTTCAAAGAATGAATCAAAGGTGAAAGAAAGAGCATAGTCAACTGACGAGACACGTCAACTTTGTATTGTTAGAATCGATCTGGGAGGCAATTAGTAGCTTCACAGAACTTCCTCTCTTCGTTCCTATTTGTGTACAAGATGTACCTAAACGTTGTGTCCATAATCTCTGGTGGTGTTTGCTTTGTCCAAGTCGTGAGTTAGGGTCACATGGACGGTAAAACTCTCAACTCTCGCTCGCTGTTAAAGCATCGTTCTGTTCCCTGAACCTGCTTTGTATGTATGTATGCATCCAAGACTTGTGGTTTATGTTTCGAAGAAGAGTTTCTTGTCAACTCGTCCATATCTCCTTGGCTCTTGTTTTTTCCATGTGGTGATTGAACCATTTGTGTTTGCTTGTTGGGGAACCTCTAATAACTTGCTAGCAGGGTTCCGAGCCTTGACTTCAACTGCAGCCCTGCCGGGCAGGCAATATAGCAATTAGCAAGGTTTTCTGGAAGGTTTGCAAGGATATCAAACATGTGGGGGCCATTGTTATAAGACCGGTCAGCATAACCCATAAACTACCGGAGTAGAAATGGCAACTCTATAGGATGAGTATCTCAATATTCATATTCGCTTTGTGGTAGGTTGGGTTTAGATCGAGTAAATTTATCACAGGACGCTGGTCGGAGCAGGTTGGGTTATATGAATATGTAATTTAAAAAGAAAATAACAGAAATATTCATTTTTCATTAAGAAAACTAATAAATAAACTATTTATCGTGTAATTAAATTATTTGAGAATTCAAGGTTTTCATATATTTACAGTTTTATTTTAGTTTAAATTTGAGAATTCTAAATAATTTGACTAAAATTACATGTAATTTAGACAAGAATGGACCGAGAATGTAACGAGTCAAGACAGATCACGCCAAGGAGGGTAGTACTCATGTCTGCCCCACATTGCTCCGCCTACGAGGCTGATATTATTCGCCCCAAAACAAGTTAAACAGGTTGGATAACATAGGTTAGTTCGAAATTATCATGCTGAGATGCTTTGAAGGAGGGCGTAAATCATAATACTTTGGTTCTGGTGGGTCAGGAGTTAATGATCTAACTTCCTTGATTAGTTGAGAAATTGGAGTGATAGACAAGACATAATAGAAAAGGAAGAGAGTGTCACAATTACAAAGTGGAACATTCCAATGTACGAAAATTTCGTGGCTGTTGACTGCGGACTTTGACTTCGTCCCGCTGTTGTTTGTACCCATTTTTTTTCCTTTGCCCTCTCATGCATGTTGAAATTTTTAAAACATGGAACTGTTACTGGTAGATGGGTGGATGGATGAGTGACGCATAGAAGCCATTTTAGAACATTCTTTTGTCTCCTCCTTGCACCCAAGTCTACGGAGCTGAAAATTTATCACCCTAGGAACCCCAACTCCATTTACAAATATCAAAGAAAGCAATAATGACAATAGATGTTTACCATTGAGTAGATGCTTTCTTAGTGACGATGGATCGAATCTAGTTAACCGGCTAGAAAAGTATGCAAACAAAGGAGGAATATACAAAGCAAAAAAAGGAAGGAATAAATTTAAAGCTAGCATGGAAGTCCCCCGTTTTCGGTAATAAAAACGTTTAATCAGAAGAGGGTGTCTCATTAGAAAAGTGTCTTGAAATAGATGTGAACAAAAACTTAGTCTAGTGGTACGTACCTAATTATAAAGAAAACAAACATATATTATTCTTATAAAAAAAAGTACCTTGAACGGTTGCATTGTGTCTTGTGGTTAGAACTTAATAATGACAAATCTAATCGACGAAATCCTATTTATTAATGCCAGGGAGGATGATAAATGTTTTTTTTTTTATGAATTCAGTTAGCTAGGAGCATAATTGTGGCCTTAACTGAACTAACGTATAACCAACCTACAGGTCCATAGTCCATACGCTTTTGTTCACTTCATTTGATCTAAATTCTAGCTAGCAAGTTGAAGTAAGGTCGGTCGAACAACCTTTTATCTCATATACATCGAATAAAAATTTGGTTTATTGTAATTTAATGTAAGGAAATCGATTGTATGGAGAGAAAAAAAAAAGTTTCTAACAAGGTAACGCTTTGGTTATCAAAGAACCAATACGCCAAAGTTGTCTGGTTCGTCGAGCAACAAAGATCGAACAAGTCTAATAAATAAAAAGGTGGGGCAAGAGATTGGTTCATAAAATGTTTGACTGGAGCTGAACTACAGGGTTGACTTGTTGAATGCAACGAATTGTGTCTTGACTTGAAAAATGGCGAAGGGTACACCTGGAGTCAATTGGTTGTCTATTCTTCTGGTGGTTAATACTTAATTGTAGTGGTTATCTATTCCTTTCTTTGAATTTTCTTCATCTCTATTCCTTCTCCTCATAACCAATACGACATCATATGATAATGCAATTGTTACAGAATAATAACCAAAAGGTTAATTTGGATCATAAGCAACTGCTTAAACAGTAGCAGTTGGCCCACTTACAAAAAATAATGGCTTTCATCACATTCATACTATTCTATTAGCTAGCCAGTTGGTTATATTATTAGCATGTAGGTAATGTTTTGTTTGTTTTTTCCTGAAATGATGTGTGATAAACAAACCGGTCTAAATAATTTGAGTTGTTGGAGAGATTTATGTATGGTATTTAATCATTGCCTTACAGCATGTATAATATATTAACAGATAAATAAATTAGATATTATCATATATTTTGAAAAATGACAATATGTAAGTGGGAGGATCGTAGTAAAAAATGTGTAGTCATCGTAAAACTGATACATCCGTACACACGTGTTCAGTTATAAAATGTAATCTAACACATATTGATGGAGAAAAAACAAAAAAATAAACAAGAATGAACCTCAAAATTTCCTGCAAACTTAAACATCATAGCCTGCTCCCTAGGAGATGTTGAGTTCAAAATGTTGTTCAATTTTTTTGTGCATCTCATTGAGCAAGACTAGAGCCCAACAGCTACATTTGTCTATACATAACAATAATCGAGCGTTGTGCTTAAATTAAGTGTAAACTTTTCGAGATTATTCGGAATCAAAACATACAAAGTATAAACTTTCAAGTAGTCTTGGAAACAATCTAATATGATATGAACTATAGAGAACCATATATATGCATCCCAATAACTTACGAGAACGGCTCCGTCGTCAAGGGTAAATTAAATTAATCAATGGGGAGGTTCATTATTAGATGATGCTTTCAAGCAACCTTTCATCAGGTGCAACTCAATTTCTTGGGAGTGGTTAAAAGATGTAAATTACTTTTTGCCCGAAAGATTCGACCGTGTGCTTGTTAAGTCCCAGTGGCAGTTTAAATGTTGGATGCGGCGATCTTTAATTAGTGTGATAAGTTATGTACAGTTTGTTATTATTTATTGTTTTGAAGCTTCTTAATAAGGCTTTCCTCACTTGCAGGTTGGAACTTATTGGCGCCTGGCAGATGTACCAAACCTTAAACCATATATATATGCAAGTGGATAAGCAATTGAATCGGGAGGATTAGCTATGTTGAAACAAAACAATCTAGAAGTTAAGTTAAATTTACTTGGTAACTCACAGAATAATAAATAATTATTTTGTGTTTGGACCATCCATGAGAAAAATTGAAAAGTTAAAAAATAATCAACTTGGTCTATATATGACCAAACAATATTTACTTCCACTAGCGTAAAAACTAAAAATACTTATATGACAAGCTGGAAAGGACAAGTATTATGATTATAAAAAAAAGAATAATTTTGATGATCAGTACATTTGGGCACTTTGTTATGAAATTGGATGAAACCGCTCGGAAAAATTAAATTTGATGCAAGAACATATGCACAAATGAATATTTTGGCGATTTTCTTTGAGATCAAGATAGTATGAGTCAATCATTTACATCAAGTAAAAGTTTTATGATTTAACAGTAAAATGTGAATTTTATACATGGTTTTTTTTTCTTAAAAGAAGAACCGGATAGCTAGAGAAGTCTGAAATGTGCATGTAGCTCTTTTTGGCAAGTCAAAGAGTTCTTGTTTCTTCAACCTATGAAATGAAATGATGAGGTGGAGAATAGAGATAGACAAAAATTGGGTGCAATATAATAGTCAGCCACATCATAAATGAGACAGAAAAGTTGACCAAATATTATGTTTGCATTATGGGACCTATGTATATATGTCACATTTGAAGCCCTGAATAGTACTCGTATTTGGCTCCTCTCTACCTTTGGTGATAAGGAAATGGTCTGGTCAGAGATTGTGCTCTGCCCCTTCTAGACCCAATCAAGTTACAAGTTTGGATTTATAGGAACAAATTCAACGTTTTTACTTAGTAGAAAATAAAATGGATACAAGGAGGAACAGTATATTTGATGTCATTGGAGATTTTAGAATTCACAATGTTAATTAAACACAATGTGATTTACTTTTGAATCAAGAAAATCCTAGTACGAGATTTTCATTTATAAGTTGTTGAGATTAAGAGAGATTTATGACGTGACATATTGAATTTTGAATGATTAATTATACACGTTAGGGCATCCTTTTGAAACCGTTAAAAAAACAACGAGTTTGAAGATGTGGAAGGGGAGACTAACGGGCCTGATGGCCATTAGGGTTTGTGTTAATGTGCCTAAAACAGGTGGAATTATGATTGCTTTGATTAATGGCATGCACCTTTAAGAGGGTTAGGTTTAGTCAACAACTCCAGCTCTTACAAGACTTTGGGGATACCTAGTAGTGTAAATTAAGAACCCTAAATATGAAAGGAATTATGATGTGTAGAGTTTCTTTCGTTCTTTCTTGTTCCAATGGTACGAAATGTACATATTTTCTGAATTTTATTTGTGTGGGAAAATGAGGTACTGTTTCAAATGTATGTAGATTCTCAAACTACATAATTTCTAACCATTTGAGGTTACAAGAAAGGAGAAAACGATATTTTTTGGGAAGGGTATGTACTGTTCATGTTTCAATGGTTTCAATCAATTTATTAATCAAACCAGGTTTATTTTTTATATAGTTCAATAATTGTGACGATCAAGATATCATGAGTTAGATTCCTAAAAATTCTCGAACAATTTAATCAAAAATTATAATTATTACATCTAAATTTTTTTTTGAAATTTATTACCCAACTCTCGCATTTCAAATAATAGAGAAGAATTAAGTTTCCACCGCAATCTCCCCACAAAGTGATAAAAAGTTTGGGACAATTTAGTTTGAAGGAAGCAAAGTACGTAGAAGGATAACAAGTAGATAGGCTCGCCGCCTCCAAGGTGATTCAATTTCTTGAGCTAAAGAAAAACTAAGGTTTGGC